GCTCGAGTTTATAAAAGGTCAAGAGATAGAAGAATATGGTTGTGTCCAGCTATTGAAGATGATGTCTTCTGTCCCATGGCTTCTCCGAAGCTTAAGCAGAACAATTCTGTTCCTAGAAGTATAAAGCAGTTTCCTACGAATAGTATTGGAGAGGGACAAGATAAGGACTTCAATGGTTCTGCCGATTTTCAGAATACATCTACGATCCCTACCATTTGTAATGATGTTGTTGAAAGGGTAGAAGCAATTTCTGTGAATGCTTCAGGGAAAGGAAATGAAAAGAGAAGGAAGAGAAGGAAGAGGAGAGCCTTAATTTCTGAAGCTATTGACTTGGTTAATATTTCGACTGCTTCTTCTTCCTCTTTTGTGGAATTACTGAAGGAAGCAGTGGATACTTGGGAAGTATGTGAGATGTTAGGTATTTCATTTAAGGAAGGGAAGGAGGCTTTTATTGATAAATTATTATGTCTTGGTCAAGAGACAGATGCAGTTAGGGGTGGATGAAGGTTGCTCAGTTTTAGCTGAGTGTAGGGGGAGTAATTCTTTTTTATGAATAATTTTAGTATTGTTTCGTGGAACATTAGGGGTCTTGGGAGGAGGGAGAAGTGTGTAGCTGCAGCAAGGTTAGTCAAGAAGACGAAACCAGATTTTCTTTTCATTCAAGAATCTAAGTTGGAAAGATGCCATGGGGCGATTTTTAGAAGGATTGGAGGTAACTTGTTAAAGGGGGTGTTGGTTTCTCCAGCACAGGGGTCATCGGGGGGCTTGATTACATTGTGGAATGAGAACGTGGTTCAAGTCATTGATCAGTTTGTGCATAGTAGGTTTTTGGCGTTAGTAGGAAAATCTAAGCATGGTTCTATAGAGTTTGTAGCTATTAATGTTTATGGGCCTACAGTCGAAGCTGAGAAGGAGGTTTTTTATGGGGAGTTGCTGAAGTATGTTAGAGCTCTAAATTTACCAGTGTGTTTAGGGGGAGACTTCAACGCGTATCTTGATTCAGAAGAAAAGATAGGCAAATCACAAAATTGGCATATTATTGATATTTTCAGGTCATTCGTGCAAAATGCCAATCTCATTAACTTGCCTATGTCAGGAGGTTCTTTCACTTGGTGCAGTAATAGAGAATCTTCAACATGGCTGAGATTGGACAGGTTCCTTATTTGCGCAAGATTCCTTAAGATTTTCCCGAACATTGTGCAGTCGATTTAACCGAAATCTATTTCAGACCATAATCCAGTCTTGTTGGAGGATAAATCTACAAATTGGGGTCCAAAACCTTTTAGGTTCTTTAATTTTCTTTTAGAAGAACAAGGTTTTGATGATTTAGTTGCAGACTCACTGGAAGTAGAAGAGAAGAAGAACAATAGTGGTGGAATTTTCAGAATCCTGCAGGGTGCAAAAAATGAAATCAGAAACTGGTCTGGAAGTGGACATTTAGGGCTGTCAGAGTCAATTTCGTTGCTGGAAATTAAAATTAACAGTCTGGATTTAAAGTGTCAAGGTGGAAAGCAGTCTGCAGGGGATTGGGCACAATTGATTGAGTCTAAAAAGGAATTATGGAGACTGTTAAGGATCGAGGAGAGAATTTGGTTTCAAAAATCTAGAAACAGATGGATTAAAGATGGCGACAGGAATACAAGGTTTTTTCATCTTAGTGCATTGAAAAGGAATAGATTCAACACTATTCATTCTATCAATTTTAAAGGCAAAGTTATTTCGGATCCAGAAAAGATAAAAAATAGTGTGTTTAAGTTTTTCAAGAATGCATATAATGAAAAAACTACACTGGAAGTTGAGGGCTTGAATTTTGATTTTAAACAGTTGTCTCAAGTTCAAAGTGATTCTCTAGAAGAGGTGTTTACAGAGCAAGAAGTGTGGCAAGCAATTTCATCTTCTGATAGTGCAAAAGCTCCAGGGCCGGATGGTTTCACAATGGGTTTTTACAAGAAGTATTGGAATTTGTTAAAGGTGAAGATTATGGAGTTTTTTTCAGATTTTTACAATGGAAAGCAGTGGGTTCATGGGGTGAATCATGCTTTTATTACCTTGATTCCAAAGAAAGGTAATCCTGAGAGTATTAAAGATTATAGACCTATTAGTCTAGTGGGCAGGTTGTATAAGATTCTCTCTAAGGTTCTTTCGAAAAGACTTTCATCTTGTGTTAAAGATATTGTTAGCCCTACACAGTTCGCGTTTATTCCGGGGAGGCAATTGTTGGATTGTACCTGTTTAGCAAATGAAGGCATCGATTATTGGAGGAAACAAGGGCTGCAGGGGGTTGTTTTCAAAGTGGATTTTAGCAGAGCTTATGACACCGTGGATTGGCAGATTCTGTTAAGGCTTATGAAGGAGATGGGCTTCAGAGAAAGGTGGTGTTCTTGGATAAATCAGTGTATTTCTACAGCTTCTATATCTATTCTACTGAATGGGTCTCCTACAAAAGAGTTTCATATTGCTAAAGGTTTACGACAAGGATGTAGTCTTTCTCCTCTTTTGTTTAATGTGGTTGGTGAACTCCTTCATATGATGTTAAATAAAGCTGTGGAATTAGGATTATTTCAAGGGTTTTCTTTTGGAAATATGCAAAACAGTTTCAATTTGACCCATCTTCAGTTTGCGGATGACTTAATTATTTTTTGTCGAGCCTCCATCACTCAAATTAAAGACATTAGACGAGTGTTGATGATTTTTAGTTTTATGACGGGGCTTCATCTTAATTTAGTTAAGAGTAAATTGTATGGTATTAATGTGGAGGAGGACACACTGAGAAATTGGGCTATGGACATTGGCTGCTCTATTGGTTCCTTTCCGACAGTTTATTTAGGCCTTCCGTTAGGGGCTAAAAGAAACTGTGAGAAACTGTGGGAGCCAGTCCTAGCTAACTTTGATAAGAAATTGGCGGGATGGAAAGCTTATTCTTTGTCTATGGCTGGTAGATTGGTGCTTATTAAGTCGGTTTTATCCTCTTTACCTATCTTTTATCTCTCTATTTTCAAGATTCCAGCTAAAATCTGTCAAAAATTAAACTCTTTGATGGCGAATTTTTTATGGGGTGGAGGAGAAGAAAAGAAGAAAATGCATTGGGTGAGTTGGATTAAGATTTGTAAACCGAAGTATGGAGGTGGTCTAGGAGTTGTTGATTTGAAGCTTATTAATAGAGCACTATTGGGAAAGTGGGTGTGGAAGTTTGCCAACGAAAAAGAATCTTTGTGGAAAAAGTTCTTATGTTCTAAACATAGTGTTAGTTGTCTTTCTATGGATGTCAATAAAGTCTCCTCCCACAAGGACTCTTGGATTTGGAGAGGTATTGTGAATAGCTACATGAAGGATGATTTCTTTGGAGGATGCATTAGATCTCATGCGAGGTTACAAGTTGGGAATGGCAATTCGATTTTCTTTTGGAATGATACATGGTTGGGGGATTTTCCATTGAAAGTTCTTTTCCCTAAGATTTTTGCTCTGTCAACAAATCAAGGGGGTAAGGTTGCTGAATTTGGTAGTTTTGATTTGAATGGTTGGGAGTGGAATATTAAGACTAGGAGGAATCTATGCGATTGGGAAGTGGCTCAGCTGGTTGATCTATTGGACAAGCTCAATGTTATCAAATTAAATGAATCTTTGGAGGATTGTATGCTTTGGGTTGGTGCGGTCCGTTAAAGCTTGCACGAAATCTTTCTACTCAGTGGATGAGGATAACTTTAGGTGGAACAAATGTGTTTGGCAAGGTCTGGTTCCTCCTAGAGTAGAGGTTTTCCTTTGGCAAGTATCACTTAATAAAGTAGCGGTTAGAGGGGAATTGAAGAAAAGGGGGGTTCCCTTAGGGGAGGACTCTCAATGCCCCTTTTGCAATCAAGCAGAGGAATTAGTTCAGCATCTGTTTATTTCCTGCCAGTTTTCCTGGGTACTATGGAACAGAATCATAGCCTACTGGGGTATCAAGTTAGCCTTACCTACTGATCCTTCTTCAATTCTAATTTCATGGTCTGTTCTTAGGCCATTTTCTAATATGTGGAAGTTTATTCCGGGGGCTGTTTTATGGTCGATTTGGAAGATGAGAAACGAAATTGTTTTTTAAAGAGGCAAGCTGGACACATCCTCATTTTTTTTCACAGTCAGGTTAAGGCTTGCGAAATGGTTCCTAGCTAAGTAACCTTTATCCTCTATTCAAGTGGACTCTCTAATTGGTGATCCTTCATTGGCTGATAATATTTCAGCTTCTCTTGATTCGAACAGGCCTGTGGTTTACTGGAGTCCTCCTCCAGTCAATTTTTTTAAGTTTAACGTGGATGGAGCAGTTAGTAGGGTTGGGTTGTTAGCAAGAATTGGGGGCATTCTTAGAGATTGGAATCGGATTAAATTGATGTCGTTTTCAGAAAAAATAGGGCCTACTCCTATCATTTTAGCAGAGTTAAAAGCTATCAAAAGAGGAATAGACATCTTTGTGTCATCAGAATGGGTATTGAAGGGAAGGCTTATTATTGAATCTGATTGCAAGTTAGCTGTGGAGTGGTTGAAATATCAGGAGTCAGTTCCACCTTTTCTTTTAAATTTTGTCAAGGATATTGCGGATGCGGTTTCTGAGTATGAGGTCATTGTGACGTGGATTCCGAGAAGCTGTAATTACGAGGCAGATTTGCTTGCAAATGAGGGGATTGGGTAGTGGGTCACTTTTTTAGTACTGGGTTCGGAGGTTTTTCATCAAGGCGTTATAAGAGTGTGCTTAAGTTTTATGTATCTTAAAGGAGTGGTTTTAGTTTTATGTAATTTTTACATTATCAATATATTAAGGTTCTCTATTCCTCCTTCCCCTAGTAGGTTCTGACCTCATGGTAAGGACTACTAAGAAGGAGGTTTTTATGAGACCTACTTTTCCTATCAAAAAAAAAATACACATCACTAACTACAAACTGGAAAAAATTGTTTTGCTGATCCTAAAACTTGCAAATGCTTTTTAAATTGGCTATGGTATGTGTATTTGTTATTTAAGCTGGTCATACCTCCAGGTTTGGTGGTATCTAACACACTTGCCTCCTCAGCCCATGTTGGATAAAGCAATTGCTGACGAAGAGATCCCAAAACCATATATGGCCTCTGAGGAAGGAAGAACACACTTCTAGAGTTACTATTTATGGGTCTTCCAAACTCCAAATTCACATTTTTCTCAGAATTTTCTTCAACAGGAGCAGCATCTGAAGAGGTGAGTGGTTGAGCATCACCCCCATTCTACACATAGAATGTGATTTTCCCTTTTCCAGTACTCCAAAGACCAGCCAGTGCTCTAAGCAGAGAAGTTTTGCCACTACCACTAGGTCCTACAACCTATTAAGACATTAAAAACAACTTTAACCCCGTACTTGTCAATTCAGTATATATATACGTATATATAAGTTAAAAAAAATGATTATACAAACTATGATACTAACCAACAAATTATCTTTCTCATTGATCCCGAATGATAAGTCTATAACAAGTGTAGAGTTAGTTTTTGGTGTTTTTAGAGTCAAATTTTCTACATCCAGCAATCTTGGCGGCGTGGTTGGTGGTAAGGATCCATTAGAATCCAAAACTTGTGAGCCTTGGACATGACAATATGTAAGATTAATATATTCCCCGGGTTCAGAGCGAGATTTCGATCCGCTGGTATCTAGAATATCATCGAATTCACCTGAAAATGTGTTTGGAGTCAAAATTGTTAGCATTGGGTAGATAATTAACTTAGTTAAACAAGAAAACAGATAATGTAAAGCATAACAGGCGAACAACGAAAAACACCAGCAATCTGAAAATTTTCACATATGAAGGATGAGGTAGCCAATCAACACTTAGTGTCACTAAGGAACAGATTGAATGATCTAGATGACGGTTAGTTGGTCTTTGAAATGCCTTTCCAGAATCTCTACTCAAAGAGAAGGTACTTACAAAACAAAATCCTGCCATCCAGAATTGAATTATACTCCAATGAGGTATTTTTATTTGTGTCGTAAATGTTAAAAAGATATTTAAGTTTCAGACAAACAAATGAAATGATTTATCACAATAAAGTGCAGAATCAATCATTTCTTCAACAATTGTATTCTTGGAAGAAAAGCTATGGAGCCTAATAAAATTATGAAAAGATATAGAGGACTGAATAGGGTGAAAACACCATACCGAGTCTATCAATGACAGCTGAAAAGGCACTAATTGCTTGAAATTGATATACAACCAAGGAGACGTCCCCAAGGATATGACTAAAAGCTGATACAGACTGATTAATGACACCAAACTCAATTTTTCCAGAGAAATACATTGGAGCAACAACAGCAGCAGGAACAATTTGAATGAGGTAACGGTAGCCATTGGTGAAAAACTCAAGATTTCTGGAAGCTATCAACAATTGCTGCACAAGGAAAGGACCAGAAGGGCTAATGCCATAAGATGGTTACATAATATTACAACCTGAGACAGGAACAAGATTGCAAGAGATCACAGCAAAGCACAAAGAAGACAACCATTTTGTCAAATAAATAAACTTAAGGCAATGGAAGAAGTTTAGGCTAAGTAAGAGAATATTGAGAATATGCATACAGTTAAATTTTCAAAAGCACTTGTGAAGCGTTGCAACAGAAGTTGCAGTTCATTATCTTCACCACCATAGAAAGCAATGGATTCAGCATTTTCTCGGACACGAACAAGCCCATAACGAAAGTCAGCTTCTTTCTTCTCTTGAAGGAAATTAAGAGTAACCAATCCCTGAAACGAAAAATGACACAAAAGCAGAAAGAAAAATTAAGGTCAAAGTGTCGAAACAAAACAAGAGGTAGTGCAAGTGGGATAGGGGGATACAATACCTTGCCAAGAAAGATGCTAATAGCTGTTCCACCAATGGAATAGAGAATAAGTACAACAAATAAGGGTGGATATATAGTGTACAAGATATTGCTGAAGGATATCAAATCGGCAGCGGCATTGAAGAGTGTCAAAGAGAAAGAAAGAGCAGTAGAGGTGAAGGAACTAAGATCATCCACTATGCGCTGGTCAGGGTTATCAATAATGGACTGAGATTGAATTTTGTAAAAGGTCCGATCAGTGAGATACCGTTGCATGAAATAGCTTGTCATCCAACATCTCCATCGTAAAGAAAGAGTTTCCCTTGCATAATCTCTCAAAACAAAAAACTGAAATCTAGCAAAAAATCATGAACTAACTTAAGAAGAAGAACCAACAAATATAATACTACTGACGGCAGACCAAGAAGAAGCAAAAGAATAATGAAATGGATGGCAACTGGTCAGATATCTGCATATTTTGATAAAAAAGATATCTGCATATTTTGTAAAATTCAAAAGCGTAAATCTGCTTTAAAATCTGAATCCATAATCCTCAAATCCGAATTAATTAAATTATCTACCAAACATTTAAATTCTCTAAAAGTCAGCATTTAGCAACTCTTAAAAATTAAAATGAAAAATTTAAAAAGCAAAGTGGATAGTAGATTCCGACATCCAAATTTGAACCGATTCAGATAATGAATATTCAAGAGAAAATTATTTGCATCCAATACCATTCGAAACCAAAAAAACAAGGGCCTATATATGCAAATATCCGAACCCACAATTCTGACATTACAAGTTCCAGAGGAAAACAACAATTAAAGTAATGGCTAGCATAGCAGAACATTAGTGCTCACCGGAATTCCGACAGCAAAGCCACAAAGATAGTACACAAGTTGCGTGGTGAACTGTTCCTGGTCTTTGTCTTTATCATACATAACAAATTGAAAATCCAAACCGATATCAGACAATTGAAATTAAACGTCTAATTAACGAAAACTGAACAAAGGAAAAGAAAACATACTCGCAAGCGCATTGAAGAAGTCGCGGCCAAGGAAATTGAAGCCGACGCTGATGCCGGTGGTGGCGAGAGTGAGAGCGAAAACACCGGCCAGCTGGAGCCTAGCTTGAACCTTATCGTCAGAGTTCCAATAGGGAGCTGCCACCTTCCAGAACCTACGATACAGAATGTTCAAGTCGGAGAACTTCCTCTGATCTCCTTCATCGTCAAAAGGCGGAGGCGGCGGTTGGGACTTGGACTGGGAAGTCGATGCGCAGCACTTGATATCCAATAAATTTGAATTTCTCGTTTTGAGGCGCCTGCGCATCGTGGATGAGAAGGGATGATTTTGGTGGTGATTGTGGCCATTGGAGGGGTCGAAACGGGAATTTATGCTGTGTAACCGTAAGTACGGGAACGAGCACAGAGCCATTTTCGCTACAATCATTGCTTATTTTTTCCTTGATTTGGAATCAAATTTTCTTGTGGGTTTGTTGGTAATATAAATGTTATCATCAGAGAAGTTGTGGCATGCGCTTCGCTTTAGAATGGTTTAGGTAAGCTTCTAACTGGTAGCACCGGTTATAGGTCAAAATATGTGCCATGATTTTTTATTAAAATATTATGTTTCTTTCATATGAATTATCGTAATTATTTAAAGGGTAAACTACGCCAATGGTCACTAATGTTTGGATAAGTTTTTATTTTCACCACTAATATTTCAAAAGTTACAAATAGGTCACTAATATTATCGTTTGTGACAAAATGGTCACTGACCGTTAACAACCGTTAAGAGGCGTGACGAAAAATACAGCTGGACCGTTATCTGCTGAGATGGATCGTTGATCGCCATTTTGACCGGCTCTTCTTCTTCTTCAACCCATTCCCTATCTTTTTCTTCATTTTTCTTCTTCTTTCTCTTCACTTTTCTTCACTTTCTTTCTCTTCACTTTTCTTCTTTCTCATCGAATCAAAAAGCTGAAAATTGAAACGACTTTAATTTTGCTATTAAATGAACAATGGAGCTATGTTCATAATTTGAGGTGCATGTTAAATTTTGGGATTAGTGCTGATATGTTTACTGTTATTCATGCTATTTTCTATATCAGGCAGTTGAAATCTATTAGGCGGGGCAAGCAAATGCGTGCTTATGTGATGAGAAATGATTTAGGCTATCAAGTGTTTGTTCATAATTCTTTTATTGATATGTATTATGAATGCGATTGTTTAACCTATGCTCGAAAGGTTTTTGAAAATTTAACAGAGAAAACTGTGGCTTCATGGAGCTTAATGGTCAAAGGATGGGTAAACCATGACCAGAATCATGATGCTCTTTCCCTTTTCTCCAGGATGAAAACATATGTAGTTAAAGCCGATTTCATTTTAGTTATCAACTTCTTGCCTGCATGTGTGAATATAGGGGCCCTAGAACAAGTTAAAGCCCTTCATGGATGCTCATTGAAGCTCAGTCTGAATTTGCTGTCATCGGTTAATTATGCAATTCTTATCGGTTATGCGAAATGTGGATGCATAGTTTTGACCATAAAACTTTTTGGTGAAGAGGGAATTGATGTCAATGATATCATAACATGGAATTCGATAATCGGTGCTAATGCTAAGCATGGAGACTGGTTACAATGTTTCAAGTTGTATAACCAGATGAAACAGTTGAATCTGAAACTGGATCAAGTTACTTTTCTTGGCCTACTGACTGCTTGTGTCAATTCAGGGCTTGTTAAAGAAGGTCGATTATTCTTTTAAGGAGATGAGGGAAATCTATGGTTGTTAACCCAACCAAGAACACTATGCCTGTATGGTGGATTTACTAGGGCGCGCCGGACGTATTGATGTAGCGAGAGAATTTATCGACGAAATGCCATTCAAACCTGATACTCGAGTGTGTGGGCCCTTTTTGAGTGCATGTAAACTGCACTCAGAAACCAAGTTAGCAGAATCTGCAGCCGAGAAACTATTAGCAATGGAACCTGAAAATGCTGGAAATTATGTTTTACTATCGAACATGTATGCAGCCGTAAGGAAGTGGGACAAATTTGCTAAAATGAGGAGACTTCTTAAAGAGAAAGGACTAAAGAAAGTCCTCGGTTGTAGTTGGATACAACTAAATGGACATGTACACGAGTTTCTTGTTGCTGATAAATCTCGTCCAAAAGCAAATATATATGCTTTACTTCGAATCTTGGAGTTTTCAATCAAGGAGGCCAGAGAATACAATTATAGGGAAAGTATCCCAAATGCTCATTTCATTCATTGGTGAATCCATAATATATTTTAGCTAGTTCTGATCACATGAGTAACCTTTAACATGTTGAACGAAAATTTTGGTATTAAATGAACAATGAAGAAAAGTGAAGAGAACGAAAGAAGAAGAAAAGTGAAGAAAAAGATGGGGAATGGGTTGAAGAAGAAGAAGAGCCGGTTAAAATGGCAGTCAACGATCCACCTCAGCAGATAACGGTCCAGCTGTATTTTTCGTCACGCCTCTTAACGGTCATTAAAGGCCAGTGACCATTTTGTCACAAACGATAACGCTAGTGACCTATTTGTAACTTTTGAAACATTAGTGATGAAAACAAAAACTTACCCAAACATCAATGACCATTGGCGTAGTTTACCCTTATTTAAATTTATTAGAATACATAAAATTTGAAACTATTTACTTAAATGTGCGACATTTTATGAGTTCTAAAATTATGTTATGAATGGAGTTTTTTACTTAAAATTTAGAGAGAGTTTTTTGTATTATAACACAAATATATTAATTTAAATCAAATTGAGACAACTTAAAGTTTAAATAAAAATTGTCTAAATTTATAATCTTCGAATATGTATTATTTGAACATGCCCACTAATAATATTCACTAAAATATAATACATTATGATAAATATTTTAAACTTTAATAAGATCTATTAAAAATTAAATAATTAACTATGTTTCTTGAACATGTCTATCAATGACTTTACTAAAATTTGTTATAGTAAAGTCATTATGTTATCTTACAGCCATAATTTAATATTATGACTTGAATAACATATTATTTTTATTCGAGAATTTGTCGTATTTAGAGTAACACAATGGTAGAAACTACAAATCACTGTCCCGATAGAAAGATTGCCTTCTAATTGATGTTTCAAATGCACGCTCATTACAAAATGACTACGTCATTGAGAGTCTGTCAAATTAGGAGGAATGCGACACTCAAGAAGGTTATGAGCAAATTTCAAAGTTCATCGACCCTCCTCGGCTTTCTATCAAAGCATGTCCACAATTGTTAGAAAAATTATCAACTCGTCTTTAATTATATATGATTGAAATATGAAAATTAATCATTTTTATTTATGTGTCATGTCATAGTTGTACTGAATTAACGATTTATTGATCAAATTATAACAAATCGATAACATAAATGATATATATTTTTTTAAATTTATTTGACCAAAATAGGATAAACTAAAAATACAAATGACTTTAGTTACACTTTACCCATTCTGATTTGGCAAATGCGTAGTTTCCAACTCAAATTAAAATTAGTCTACCAGAATTTAGTTGGTGCACCTTACCCGCCACCTGACCTACTTCTATCTTTATTAGTTTTATTTTTAGGTTATTTATCTTAGAATAAATTATATTTCTAATTCATTTTTAATTAATTATTGAATATACCTTAATACTATTCCGATTAAAAAACATTAGAAATTTATGTTTAATTATGGCTTTAGTTCCTCTACTATATAAAATTTAGGATTTAATCCTATAATAATTTGGTATATTTGATCTATCCATGTTTATAATATTATCAATGTATGAATTGATAATGTCGTTATTTTTCGGATCTAGGAACTCTTCATGTCTGATAATTACACAGTTTTTTTATTATATTCGAAATTGAATCAGGTTGGACCCCTAAATAGGGGCAAAGTTTTTCATTTCTCCTTTATTGTTCTCTTTTCCACACATAAGATATATATATATATATATTTGATAGTCTGGGTGATTATAGAATAACGTATATTCAAAATCTTTATTAATTACTACAATACACTAACATCTTGATGTAGATGCATCTATTTGAACCTGTAAAAATAAAGTTAATTAATTAGTATCATTAAAGTGATGACTTAGATTTTTTTTTCTTTCAAAAATCAACCTTAAATATTCGATCGATATACTTTTTTTAGTGAATAATTGATATGATTTTCATAGGTTTGTGACCAAATAACAATAGAAAAATTTACATCACTACTTTAATAACAATAAATATGATGTTAAATTAAACCCTAAACTTTATATAGGGGTCGAGATAAAATTTTAGAGGGGTTAAAGTTAAAGATTTTATTTTGAACAGGTACAGATAATTAACATTTAAGAGGGGACTGGAATAATTTTTTCCATTTAATAAAAGAGTTTAAATTATATTATTAATATTTGAAAGGGACTGAAGGATAATTTATCCATGTTAATACGGGCCCAAAAGCCACTGTCTTCGTCTCTAGATGGTTTCGAAATTGAGCTACGGCTGTAAACTAGTAAGTATTTTTGAGCTTCACTTCACTTGAAAATTTTAAAATAAATTTGATTCGCCTTAAAAATTGTCGAGTCTAAATATTTTAAGTTTGACTGGAACTCAAATTTATGAATTGAAGTTCGGAAAAAAAATCTTAAACTTAACTTAATTAAAGTTCAAACTCAAATTCGAACATGAACTTTAAATACATGAAAATCTTATATTACAATTGTTTTAAAAAATTAACACATAGATGTTAATATTATTAATAGTTTACTATTTTAAAAATAAAATTTAATATATTATTTTTTAGTTGCTTGCGATCTTTTCGATTCGTGTATCAAATAGCTCGTTTTGGCTCATTAATAACTCGGTCAATTCCATTCGAGTTGAATATATATAAAGCTTTGACTAAGTCAATCTCAAATAGCTTGCGATCTGTCTCGTCTCATTTACATCCCTAGGAGTGACTATAACTTTATTAAACTAAAATTAAAATTTGAAATTTCAGAATACTAAAGGACTAAACTTAAATTATACCAAAAAGATTTATACGCTTCCGGGATAAAGGGATAAAATGGTAAAAATATATGCTTGCTTGAAATTATCTCCTTTTCCCCTTCTTTTTGAATATATGACCACCTCCTTTCTCATCAATTCCCTTCCTCCTCTTCAAAACCCTATCCCATCTGATTTTGGGATCTCAATCACGGATAATACATCTCTTCTATTTAAATTCAGGTAAAATTTGTTTTAATTTTATCTAAAATATTGCTTTCGTTTTACGATTAATAGGCCTTTTTGGAATTGGTGCGAAGAAGTTTGATTTTACTTTGCTTTGATTTTCCGAATTTTGAATATTGATCCAATATATATGTCAAAATATTATTTTTCCCTGATCGTATTTGATTTTTTTTTGCATGCGTTTTGATTTTATCTTAAATCTTGTATTCCTTTGACGATTAATCGGCCGTTTCTTTGGATTCGGTTTGAAGAAGGTTTATTTTGATTTGTTTTAATTTTTTGAATTTTAAACGTTATCCAATATTTATGTCAAAATTTTAATAGTTTTCCTGATCGTATTAGATTTTTTTTGTTTTGTTTTTGCTTGTGTTCGATTCGGATTTTGTATGAGGAGATTAATAGATTCGAAGTGTTCGTTAACTTTGATCTTTTTCGCCCTTTGAATTGTTTCCATTTTAGGACGCTCTTTTTAGTAGTGGTAGGTATGGTTAGAGCTGATGTACTTTATAAATATCTATCATTTGAAGGGAAAGCTAGTAACATCAAGCATCTGAGGAATGGATTAGCTTGGATAAGGCAAATTGATTGATGAAAATCTAACCTGTTGGTTTTTAAATATTGTTTTGATCCTAAAGCTTCAAACTTCTATTATTCTGGCTTAAAATTAAGGGGGAAAATGTGAATAAGAGTAATAAATGTTAACTTCTTTTCCCCCTAGAATTTTGTTTGAAGAGTGAGTTTTAATTGTTTCGTATGTCAGCTATTATTTATGTAGCAATTTCATTATTATTCATGCTGAATTTCTGACCTTTATCAGGTTTACTTCAAAAAAGAAATAAGGAATGTCTTTCACATGGAATTGTCGCATGCAAGGGGGCGTTTTTCAGGATGATTACCGGAATGCATTCAATAGAAATAATTACAGTAGTTACAGTTCCGATAACTACAGAAACAGAAATGGGAAATGGAGTAGCGACAGGATTTTTAACCATACCCAAGAGTTATTTGGGCAGTTTGGGGAACATAATAAAGGTTATCAGCATGCACAACCACATTATGCTTCTTCTTTGAAAAGAAGAAAGTTTTCTGGTGCTACTTGGGGAGATAGTGGTAGAAACCACCTGTCATATAGCATGCATTGGCCTGCTGCTCCATTGGAATCCAGCAATTTCATTCCTCCTCCTCCTCTAAGATCAAATGCTGAAGCCTCTACATCTGTCAACAATAAACGTGATAGGTCACAGTTGGAGGATGATGAATCTGTCTTCATGTCTAAGGATGAGATAGAGAGATGTTCACCTTCAAGAAGAGATGGTATTGATGCACATAGTGAAACACATCTGCGCTATTCTTATTGTGCCTTCCTTCAGAACCTTGGTTTGCAGCTAGAGTTGTGAGCTTATCAATCTTGGATGCTCTTTCCTTCACCTTGTTCTTAAAATCATTTATGCAATTTTTCTTGTGTCATAATCAAATCTTACACTTTATTTTGCAGGCCACAAACTACCATTGGCACTGCCATGGTACTGTGCCATCGGTTTTTTGTTCGAAGATCACATGCTTGCCATGATAGATATGTGAGTTTCAAATACTTATGCTTAAGGAATTTATTGCTCCCTTATTTATGAAAAAATACCCTTTACACGACAAGTTTAGTTACTTCAAAAGCAGCAGGCGATAAAGGTTAACAATGCTTTAAAATTTTGTTAAGCATAAGAAAAAAAATTTGTTGCTTTTGTAACTTAAGTTATGTTCTGATCTTTAGATACCCTTTTGTTCCTGAATGTATTCTTTAACCTTTTGTAAGTTTGGTATTCTCTTGCTTGCTTAACCTTGTTATATTTTCAATCCGATTGGTGTTTCTTATATATTCTTAAATATTAATTTATGAAGATATTTAGGTTTAGGTCAAGTTGTCTTTCACCATTTTTAAAACCTCAAGGGAAGTTTTTATTTTTAAAATTTTAAAAAAGAAATCATAAGTGATTTATATGTGCTAGAAAATGAAAATGTCCCCGAGGATAAGCAGGCTATATGCTTGTTGACTAACATATTGAGTTTGTTGCAGTTGATTGCTACTGCTGCTCTTTTCCTTGCTGCAAAGTCTGAGGAGACGCCTCGCCCTTTGAACAATGTGTTGAGAACTTCTTGTGAAATATTCCATAAACAGGATATTACATTCTTATCCTACCTGCTCCCAGTTGTAAGTACATTGGAAGTTCTGATTTTTCCTTGCTCAAAAATTTAAAAGGGATTAAGCTCTTTAGCAGGGTAAAAGTGAAATGCTTTAAAATATATTTTCCTTTTTATAATGATCTTCCTTGAAAAGCATATTCCAACCATGATTAGGCTGCATCTTACCGAGTGGAGCAAATTTGGATGGAATTCATGTGTAGCAACTAAATGTTAGTTTAAACTCGTCTGCTTCTTGGGTTTAAGCATTAATTTTTGCACTTGCAGTTCAAAACAATTGAGGGACAGCATGTAATTAATCCTGTATTAGCATGCTTCATAAATATGTCAAATATTTGGCTTACATAAAGAGAGTACCGTTGTCCCTTGTGTTGAAAAGGGAAAAGATATCCATGTTATTTTTCATATGCTGACATTAAATGAGTTGTTTGTTGAATAGGATTGGTTTGAGCAGTATCGGGAACGGGTGATTGAGGCAGAGCAAATGATTCTGACTACCTTAAATTTTGAACTTAGCGTGCATCATCCGTATGATCCTCTTACATCGATTCTTAACAAACTAGGCCTTTCACAAACTGTCTTGGTGAACCTGGCATTGAACTTGGTCAGTGAAGGGTAAGATTATCTTTAATGCTTCAATGTTACTGATGTTTTTATTTGAAGTTAATTTTACAGGTGCAATATGTTTGTAATGATAAGTTCAGTTTGTTTTAGAAGTAAAACTGACTGCTGCATTTGAACTTCACCTTGATGTGATACACAATGGTTTTGTTACATGTGCAATGATTATGATCCTTCTGCCTTTTCAGGTACCAATTTGGTTTAGTTATTTTGTTGTGATGTTTGAACTATTCCAGAGTAATCTAATAATAATGCTCATATTATGGGATGTGTTCTTGTGGCTATGATTGAGTAGCTGATTTATGCACTTGAAGTAATGGGTGTTCCAATCCCTTCAATCAGCTGGTTTTATGGGGTTTTGGATTTAAAGGGATTTTGGGTGGGGTGTGTCCAATGGAGTCCATATGAACTGGTTCCAAAAAATTGAGTTGGGGTGTAAAGAAGGTTATGCAGGTTATCTTCTTCCATATTGTCCAAAAATGTGTTCTGTCCATAATTCTCTTCTTTCCCTCAGCTACTCTACAAAGTTATTCCAGTATGGCATATTGATTCTTTTGGCATGTCATATAATTGCAGGGTCATTACAAGATTAGCATGCACAACTGTATGATATTGTTAGCTGGCGGGTTGATGTGCTGTTCTTGGAAAGTTTTGTTTTTACATCTGAAGTTGAATTGCTGATTTTCACCCTGTCAACATGGTCATGGCTGTGAAAGCCACATGACCTACGGAAACAAGTCTTATTATTTTACTTTTTAACCCAACTTTGTTTTTATAGTTTCAGTTGATTAGAAACCACTCGTCTGGAGTCTATACAAACTTTGATGTTGTGAAATCTGGCTGCCTCCCCGTGTCCATTATCACCTGCAGAAAAATTGACTTGGATGAGTCAGTAGTGGGTTCTTTCCTCCTTTTAAAATGCTTATCCGCTGATGATTTCCTAGTTGTGAAATCATGGTTTGTTATAATCACCCTACCTTCTCCCCCTTTAAAATGGAGTTTTTGGCATCAAATAAAAATCTGGACCACTTTGGCAGGTATATAGGAAGTGTGTTCTTTCCTCGGGTTTTTATTTCATGTTGATTATGAGGGGGGTTTTAACAAGGCTCTGTTTCTTTCAAAAAAAAGACAAGAAAAAAAAACTGGATTGTGTCGGTAAAAGATCATTCTTTTATATGCAATAAAAATCTTATCTGCAATTAATTAATGAGCTTTGAACCTTTAGTATCTTAGGGGTTGTTTGTTTATTTCAGAATGATTAAGCGCTGAATGATTCAAATGTTGAATGATTCAGAGGCTCTGTATGAATTAGCTTTGAATGTGGCATGCTGTTTGATAATGGCTTTGAATCATTCAGAATGTACTTTGATGTTGAATCATTCAACACTGTTTTGCTGAATCAGTCAGCACTGAATCATTCAGAGGTGAGAAACAAACACGTTCAGCATTCAGCGTTGAATGGTTCCATTCAGAGCCAAACAAACAACCCCTTAGTTTTATTTTAAGAAGCATGTCATTAGCATGTGTGTATGACAACATTTGAACTTAAGTAATTGACATTTGTGAACCAGTCAGTTACAATAAATGTTACCGTGTAGTAGGCTGAACTAGAATAAGCTCAGCCATAAACACACTTGGGAATTAGTCAATTAAATAGACGATTGGACTGCGGGAATATTGTTAGAGTATGGTCCTTGTTGGGCCCTGTTCCTGTGATCATATAAGCATTTTGGTTCACATGGCCCCGTATTTTACTGCGTGTTAATTTTATGGAGAAATACTTTCCCCATAATCAAGGAGTGCGTCAGATGTTCTCTAAAGTTATTAATTGTAGTCCCTGTTGGTTCTTCCACTTTCTAACAGGTTAAATTTGAAGAAAAATAAAATTATGAATTTATATATATACATATATGATATGTGTGTGCACGTGGATACATGTAGCTTTATATTTTTATCCAATCACCAACTATTTATTAGTATGTCTATAGGTGGTGCCCCAATCTCCATATTTTAAGTATTTTCAAGACGTTTATTCTTCTAAACCCAATTTTCATTGTTATCCTTATTTCTGTTTTAAGTTGTGGTTGATTAAGGGGTATCTTTATATACTACTTTACACTGATTTTATATAATAATACAGATTTATTATATTTGACCAGAACCAGAGTAGGTGACAATTATAGCCTATAGCGTCAAGTCTTGCCTTTCCTCGGTTCAGATTTTAACATTTTTTCGTTTTTCAGTCTCTTCTTTTGGGGGGGTTCCCTTGAGTCGTGGTTTACTAACCAAGGACATCTGTATGTTCTATTTTACAATGGTGTAGATAATAATACAGATATATTGCTCATAGTATCATCTCTTGCCTGCCTTAGTTTGTGTAATTGGTGTTGTGGTATGCATGCTCGTTAACCATGAGCAGTGATGCATGCTTGATGACTGATGGGCTAAAGAGCCTTGCTTTTGATGTCTACATTGCGCTCTACTTGTCCCGTATTTGATTTGTGTATACTACTGGACTTAGAAGCACTGCGGATTGGAATGGAACTGATTTGTTCTCTAGATGGATGTAACATATTTGCTATAGTTTTCATACTCTGTGAGCCATGGTGCAGAGATTCTTGGAATATATTCTTCCTGGTGTTGGTGCCATTAGTTGGTAAGGAAAAATGACTTGCCCTTTTTTCACTTCAAATCGCTGTTTTGATAAACTCTTGTAGTAGTTATTTGCTATTGACGTGTTGTGGTTATGGTGATACGTTCTATAAGTTCTTGAAGATGTTGCCTGTTCGTTTCTTGCTCCGTGGTTGGTTTGTAATTGTTTCTGTTACTAATAAAATGATCATCGCTCAGCTGTTTATTTTTAATTATATATTTGATGTGTGATTTCCTTTTTGTAGGCTCAGGAGCTCGCTGTGGCTTCAATTTAAGCCCCATCATATTGCCGCCGGAGCTGCTTATCTTGCGGCCAAGTTTCTAAATCTCGACCTCACTTCTTACCAAAATATCTGGCGAGAATTCCAAACAACTCCGGCTATTCTCCAAGGTAATCCTTACATTATATTTGCAAATATGTAAGAATCTAATCTGTAATGTTTTTTATGTGGTAATACACGAAGTCACCTACATGGAAGGTGGCAAAAACCAATGTCAACAGAGAAACCCACTCGAGAAATCCCGAACTAAAATCCATCCGTCCAAAACCCCATTCAGACCCGAATTGACCGAAAAAATTCAAAGAGCTGAATCAGAGATAACTTGAGGCTGTCATGCATGAAAGTTAAAATTACTTGAAACTAAACCAACTTAACTAGTCTCTGATTGATGCTTGCAGATGTTTCGCAGCAGTTGATGGAGCTGTTCTGAAAGGAGAATTGTGTGTACATCTATGTTTCAGATTTATCTCCACTTAGGTTTTTCAGGGTTCAGATTTATCGTTCATATACTATAATATATATATATATATATATATGATTCCTTGTTTTAATCTTTGGTCAAGGTATGTGCAGAGAATGTAGTGATGAAGAAAGTTTATGTAAGATGGAGAATTACGAGAATTGTTATTAGAATGAGAGGTAAAGCTTAAAAGATAGATATATCTATGGCCACTTGACTCTTGTAGTTGTATCTATGTGATGATCTATCCAACTACTCGTTGAAATTTCAATGTTTAGTGTGAGCTTCAACTTTTAAGAGTAGTGTCGACGAATTTGGGTTATGATTTTTATTCTTTTGGTCAAAGGATCCACGTGTCTAATTTTGTCGAAAATTGCACATTTGACACTTGTATTTGTTCAATATTACACAAGCGTTTCATAAGCGGAGTTTCTTTTTTTTTGAAAAAAAATTATAACTATGATGTGTCACATTGATTTAATAAATATAGGTGTCGAATTAGTTTGAAAGAAAATTCAGATACTATTATTGTAAGAACAATAAATATGGGTTTCAAATGAGTAATATGAGTACCAATTTGGTTATAAGAACACAAGTAGGGGTGTACAAAAAATATGAATATCCGAAAAAAATATTCGAAACCGGTTTTGGAAAAAACCGGTTTTTTTTTAACCAGATCGGATTTTTTTAAACCGGTTATTTTAACCGGTTTGGAGAAAAAAACCTAGACCGGTTTTTTTACCGGATAAAAAACCGGTTTGAAAAAAACCGGTTAAAAAACCGGTTTTTATCCGGAAAAAAAAACCGGTCCGGGTTTAAAAAACTAGCCGTTAATATAGCCGTTGGAGGGGGTTTTGTGACAGTTTTTGACAGTTTTTTCCTTTAAAAAATTACCATTTTACCACCCTAAACATGTATAAATAGGTTGGGGATGTATTTGGTTGATTACAAATTCCTCAAATCTTATTACACAACACTTAAACATCTCTCAAATCTTACTTTTGTAATTTTTTGTTCATCATGAGTAACACGGCTGAATCTTCCGTCGGGGGAAACCTTGAAGTCGTGAGAGTGATCGAACACACTCGAAACAAAGACATTTGGGATCACTACGATTTATGTGAGATGTCAAATGGCTCGAGGAGGGCGCGTTGTAAACTTTGTCTAAAGTTTCTTGCATCGGAAGGAAACACAACGTTGAAGAACCATTTGACAAAATCATGCAAGGCACTTCGCTCAAGATCGGATCCTAGTCAATCGAATCTTACACCGCAAGGTGGTGTTTTTGTTTACGACAACGAAAAATTACGAGAAGCGTTTACAAAGTTCGTGATTACAAAAGCATTGCCGTTCGACCACTTTGATGATGAAGATTTCACGACAACAATTCAACAACTAATGCAACCACGTTATACTCAAGTAAGTCGTACTACCCTTAGAAGAGATGCTATAAAAATGTGGCGTACGGCGAGGGAAAAAATGATTTTAGGATTCCAAGAACACCGTTATGGTGTGTCGCTTACATGTGACGTTTGGAGTTCCCCTCATAATACCGAAAATTCTTTTTTAGCCGTTACGTCACATTGGTTAGATCAAGATAATTGGCAAATGATGAAAAGGACAATCGCGTTTGAATTATTCGGTGAGCCGCATACCGGTGTTAATTTATTTACACTTTTAAAAAGGGTAATTTGTCTTTATAAATTAGAAAATAAAGTTTTTTCTATATCATTTGATAATGCATCGAATAATACAAACGCGGTTCCAAGATTGAAAATATTACTTTCACCGATTTTAGACGGTGCGTTTTTTCATACCCGTTGCGTTGCACACATAATTAATTTATCCGTGCAAGCCGGTTTGGAGGTTATTGAGCCGATTAGATTAGAATTCAAAACAATGATAAAATCGGTTCTTTGTAACAACAACAAAAGACTAAATGATTATAAACGATTTTGTAAGTCCGTTAATAAAAAAGCTTTGGGTCCTAATTTGGATTGTCCAACTCGTTGGAACTCAACTTGGATGATGATGCATACTGCCTTAAGGCAAAGGGAAACATTGCAAACATTTCACGATCGGCTTTTCGAGAGGGGTCATGTCCCAAACATTTATCCGGATTCGAGTTGGGAAACTATAGCCAAAATAACCGATTTGCTTGAGGTTTTTAAAAATGCAACAACTTTTTTATCCAGTGTTTATTACCCTACTAGCCCGTTGGTTCTTAATCAAATATTTTTGTTGGCTACCCGACTAAATGACTTTGAATTTGAAACCGAAGTTTTTCAAAAAATTGGCTTTGCAATGAAGGAAAAACTTTTAAAATATTTTAAGGAGATTCCCCCCATTTTTACTTGTGCCGCCGCTTTAAACCCAACGTTAAATGTTGGTGGGGTTGAAACACTAATTGAACAAATTGCGTTTGCTTTTAATCTAACCGATGATGAACCCAACTTTGTCCAAAACCAAATAAATTATTTTAACAAATGTTTTCGAGACATGTTTTCAATTTATTTAAATAAATACGGATCAAGTAGTGTAATACACGATCAAATGAGAATGAATGCGGAATCATCTAGTAGACGTCCAAGTAACATAAATTTGAATCTTTTTAACACTCTTGTAAATTCCCAATCCAAACGATCACGTACTACCACCCCAAGTAGCGAGTTGGGAAATTATATGTCATGCGATTTTCTATCAAAAATGACATTTGAAGAGTTTGAAAGTTTGGATATTTTGGCTTGGTGGAAAGAAAAGGAAGCACAATTTCCGATT